TTCGTTTTTTTGAGTTGGAGTCCCACTCTGTCGCCCAGACTGGAGTGCAGTGGCCACTCCCAGCCACCGCAGCCTCAACCTGCCAGGCTCCGGCAATCCTTCCGCCTCAGCCTTCCAAGTAGCTGGAACTACAGGCGTGCGCTACCACGCCCAGCTAATTTTTGATTTATTGTAGAGATGAGGTCTCACCAAGTTGCCCAGGCGGGTCTCAAACCCGCAGACTCAGGCAATCCACTCACCTAGTCTCTCAAAGGCGCGGAATTATAGACTGGGCCACCGAGCCCGGCTTCCCCTTTATTTTAAAGATGTGGAGTACAATTCAGGGTTAGGTATACAAATGTTCATTATGCAGGTATCCTTGTTGATGAGGTGTGCCCCTCCATCCCCAGGCAGTTTCTCTCAACTGCCAATTCCATCCCCCTCCCTTTTTTTTTTAAAAAGAAGACAGAGTCTCGTTCTGTTGCCCTGGCTATAGCAGTGGTATGATCATAATTCACTGCAGCTTCAAACTCCTGGGCTCAAGCATTCCTCCCAGCCTCCTGAGTAGTGAGGACCACAGGTGCACACAACCACACCCGGCTATTTTAAGTTTCTTGTAGAGACAGGGTATGGTTATGTTGCCCAGGTTGGTCTCAAACTCCCTGCCTCAAGAGATCCTCCTGCCTCAGCCTCCCAAAGTGCTGGGATTACAGGTTTGAATCATCAAACCTGGCCAATAATATGTGAATTAATCTCAATAAAGCTATGAGAGGGAAAAAAAAGCAACTCCTAACCAAACCCAACATCTTCCCTCAAACTAACTAACCCTCTCACTTCCTCCTTCTTAATGGGACCTCATCATCCAGCCAAAAAAATGTTTCTCTCCTTTCTTCCCTCTTAATCCATCAGTTACCAAACCTGAAGGCTACACTATGCAATGTCTCTCATACATAGCTCCTCCTTCCCATGTCCACCGTAGGCCATCCTAGTGGGACTCTCATTGCTCTCCTTTGGGCTGTCATAATGGCTCTCAATTGACTTCCCTACTTCCAATCTCACTCCGGTCTAATCCGACACACTGTCTCCAGGTAAATCCTCTCCAGAATCAAGAGGGACCCTGAGGGAAAAGACTGTTTCCCCATCGATCGGTCGGACTCCTAAGAGCAGGGCTGTGTGTCTTCCTCTCCCGGACTGAGGGGAGCCCTGAGGGCAGAGTCTTGTCTACTTCCTTCACTTTGCGGCTTCCAGAGACATTACTGTGTCCTCCCTCAGACCGAAGGGTCCTAAAGGTAGAGTCATCTCCCTCTTCAAACCAGGACAAAGCTGTGCCCTGTGCCTCTACATCTTTGGAACTCAATTCAGTATTATGTTTGACAACATCCTTTGTCACATCTCCTCCGCCTATTCGTCACACCAGGTCTCAGCGCTCTAGCGCCGACACGGCCGGCCGGTTGCCAGCAGCGGTCGCTCCCGGATGCTCGCTGGACGCGCTCACAGCGCGACGTCCATCACGACTTTTCCCAGCACTGGGCGCCACAGCGCCTCTTCCCACCTCCACGCGTAGTCATGGTAAGAGGGGTCCCGAACTCACACCTGGGGGAGCTGTGGAGTCCGCGGGACTTGGGGCTCGGGCCCCAGCCCTCCTCGGGGACTCTGGGGCCCAAAAGGCCTTGGGCCAGACTCACCACGCAGGGCCAGCAAGCCGTCCCGCGGCGCCGCCATCTTGTTGCCACGCGGTTCCCCAGGCGACCAGCACCCCTGCACTTCTCATTGGCTAATTCGTGTGAGGGGGGGGAGCCTGAGTAAACAGCAGGCAGCGGAGGCGGATCCAATTGTCTGTGCTTGAATTCTATTGGCCCACAGACCCTAGACTCTTCGCGGTATACTGCGAATCCCAGAATGCACCGCTCCGAGTGGGCTCCCGGTTAGGGGAAATAGAGGGTTTGTGCGTTCCACAGGCGCTAGAGGAAGGAACCTGAGATTAGGTCAGTGAAACTGCTGGGAGCCTTCGGACCTGGATATGTGAGCCCCACAGGGCCACTGTTTTGCTAAATTGATCTTGGGGGGAATTATTCCTCTGAGCCTGTTTCTCCATATGATGAATACTGTACTTCGTGGGAGCTGCTTTGAGGATGAATTGAAATGATGCAAGTACCTAATGTCTCTTAAATGTGAGTTTCTCTGACAACTCCTTGACCAACTGACACCCAGAAGGAAAGCTCAAATTCTAGTTCCCTTGTGTAAGAGTTGGGTAAGGTACTCCCCCTCCCTTTGGTAAGACACTTCCTCCCTGAGCCTCATTTGTAAAATTAAGGTGTTGGGTTCGATTCAGTCATCAGAGCAACTGATAGAGACCTGCTGATGTCTGCCCATATTGCCACAGCACCTAGAGAAGGGCATGGCAAGGGTTCAAGCGCTCCTGTGCATTCCTGAACAATATTCCTGAGAGCTAATAAAAGATGCGCTTCCCCTTATCTCCTATGCGCTCCCAGCAAGAAATTTCAAAGGATTCTTAACTTCCCTGCAGACTATTCCCAATAAAGTGACAAATATATTCCTGAGTACATTCCATAAAGTCCCCTTATCTCCTATGCTCTCCCAGTAAGTAGCTTCAGGGGATCCTTGACTTCCCTGCAGACTATGCCCAATCAACTGAAAGATGTAAATCCCCATTTACTCCCTTTTCTTAATAATCATAGGTGTGAATAGTATAGTATCAATATAATCGTAAGTTTTGTGATCTGTATAACTTTTGCGTAATGCCTGATGTCTTGGGCCTTGTGAACTCCCTTTCCTCTATGGCAAGCCCGATTAACGCTTCTTCCTAACCTTACTGATAAAAGCTGTGTGATATCTCTGGCACCTGGTACCAGGAAGCCTGGACCTAAAATATCACTATCGGTAAGATGCAGCTGTAACTTAAGTTCTAGACAATGCTCTGCTGGTCACGTGGCTAATATATAGGCACTAACAACTTTGGACTTAGAAAAGTGGACTGTGAAGTAGACTGTGAAGGGGGAGCAGAACCATTTTAAAGAGGCCAAAAGCTCACTCTGCTCCCCGGATTCGAATTTAGAAATAAAACTCTTTCTACCAGTTCCCTGCCCCTTTGATATATTGGTTGATAAACAAATCAGGGAGAGCAGCTGAGCATTCCTCGGACCATAACACAACTAGAGCCAATTTAGTTAAGATCACGAACTTTGAAGTTAGGAGTCCTGGTTCCTGACCGTGCCCTTGGGCATGTTATACACCTTTGTTTCTTCATCTGTAAAATGGAGGTGATACCTTACAGGGTTGCTGTGATGACTAAATAAGATGATGCAAAGTGTCTATCAAAACACCTGTACATGACTTTAAAGGGAAAAGTTGAAACAAACAACTTTTGCACTTTTGCAAAAACATTTCCTGCTGTGAATCATCATCATCATCATCATCATCATCATCTCAACCTTCCGAACTGTGATCATCTGAGAGTGTATGACTTCTGATCTCAGCCACCCACTTCCTTATGCCCAAATTCAACCACCAAAGCCCGTTCTCTGCACAACTCAGACTGCATTTTTAGTAACTTACTTTCCATGTGACTTTCTAACTTATCACATTCAAGGGCAGACTCCTTGAAGTCATTCTGCATCCACCAGTTGGAAGCTAAAGAGAGAACTAATTACCGGGTGCCTTCCAAGTACCACATGACATTATGAGATTACAAATGAGAAAACCAAGACGGGCTCGGTGGCTCAGCCTGTAATCCCGCACCTTTGGGAGGCTGAGGTGAGTAGGATTGCCTGAGCCCATGTGTTCGAGACCCGCCTGGGCAGCGAGACCTCATCTCTACAATAAATTAAAAAAAAAAAATCAGCCAGGCGTGGTAATGCCTGATGTCTTGGGCCTTGTGAACTCCCTTTCCTCTATGGCAAGCCCGATTAACGCTTCTTCCTAACCTTACTGATAAAAGCTGTGCGATATCTCTGGCACCTGGTACCAGGAAGCCTGGACCTAAAATATCACTATCGGTAAGATGCAGCTTAATTCCGGCTACGCGGAAGGCTGAGGCGGAAGGATCACTGGAGCCCAGCCGGCGAGGCTGCAGTGGCCGGGAGTGGCCACTGCACTCCAGTCTGGGCGATCGAGTGAGACTCCAAATCAAAAAAAAAAAATTTATTGGGGGAAGTCAGAGCCTTATTATAAAAGAACACAGTATCACTGGAGAAACTTGGAAAATAATAATAGCCATCATTTATTGAGGATGTATTATAGCATGGGCAGGCATAACTTAACAACTCTGTGAGGCTGGGCTCTGTCACTTACTAGCTGGCTGTTGCTGCTCAAACTACACTTATTTGAACCTCAGTTTCTATAACTGTAAAATAGAGATACTGATACAATCTACTTCCTAGGACTATTGTACAAATTAAATTTCCTATGATGTCATCACATTACTGTTTTTGAAAAAGTTTTCTTTTCTTTTTTTTTTTTTGTTGTTGTTGTTGCCCAGGCTGGAGTGCAGTGGCATGCTCCCGGCCACCGCAGCCTTGACCTGCTGGG